GGCAATTCATGTGAAATTGAATATCTAATCAGTATGTTCCAAGTCAGTGGCGTAACAAATAACTGGCGTTTTCTTCTGTAGAGGTTAAAATTTCCCAATTTCTACGCCACTGGTATAGACGGGATTTTGTGTATCTGGTGGTTCAATGGCACTACAACATGTACATTTTAAGTCAATATCTTAATCCACTCACAGATATATACTGAGTGACAAAAAAAGGTATGTTTATTAGAATTCAAGAATTTTTTACATATAGATTTTTTATCGCCAACAGCTGAACATCGGCTCTGGTGTAGAAAATAATTCTAAGGGACCGCGAATGGAATGAGGCGGTCTTTAATGACGAATCTCGCTTCTGTCTGGGGATGCACGATGGTCGGGCAAGAGTGAGAAGGAAACGTGGTTGAAAGACGTGACCCACAGTTTGACAGAGAGCGTTACGTTCACCACACTGTGGGAGTTATGGTATGGGGTGCTTTTGCTTATGGTAGCAGATCACCCCTAATATTTTCATCAGAGGTAATATGACAGCCCGACGCTATATTCAGGAAGTAGTGGAGCATCATATTCCATACCTAAACACCATCGAAAACCTGATTTTTCAGAAATACAATGCAGGCCGCATGTTGCCAGAGCATCGTTAGCCTTCATGGATCAACCGTTTACCTTGGCTACCACGATCGCCTGACCTATCTCCAATTGAACATGTCTGGGACATGATAGGTCGCAGGCTCCTTAAGTTTGTAACACCCTCCACAGACTTTAGCAGCTCTTACTCAGAAGTTGCAATAGCCTGGAATAAGATTCCCCAGTAGGATATAGACAGCGCGATGCCCAGGCATGTCAATGAGTGTATAAGAAATCCTGGATCCTCAACACAATATTGAACCAGCCTCTGCAGTCAGTTTACGAATCAAGCTGAAAATTCAATCATTTTACTAGTAAGGGACACTGAACATATGTATATGCCAAAAATTATTAAAATCGGATAAACATACGTAGGTGTTTACCTTTTTTAAACTCAGTATAATTGTGTTTGATATAAAAATTATAATTTCTACACCCTGAATCACGGTAATTCAGCTCCATCCACTTTACGCTAGAACTATTGCCTGAAACCCTCTTAATTTAGTGCTGTAGAATTATAGAAGTGTTATCTTTTTAACGTCAGTATGAAATTGTCTGAGGAAGTTCTACAAGTACAACAATGTGGAAGTGTTGCAATATCTAGCAAGGGCCTATCACAAAGCAGGAAAATCAAAGAAGCGAAAATGGTTTTGTAAGAGCCAGAAGAGTTGCACCACAAGACAGCATTTTACTGTATAACATTGCTTTCATAATGCAGAGGACTGGCTACACAGATCTTGAAGGATGAAAAGTCTACTTTGTCCACTGTACTACAAGCTGTACACGAATTGGGACTTTCTTTGAAGTAAGTTAGATTTGTTTCCTCAGTGTTGTACAATTTCCAAGTAGAATTCTAGTATCAAATAATTGCTAAAATAGAACATTTCAATGATTTTGTGAGCTATTCCAAATATTACGTTTTGTTTTGGCAGGTACTTCAACTATCTAGTGGAGTTGGGTGATAAAACCAAATATGACGTCAGTTTGGCAGAGCTGGAAGCTCGCCAATGTAAAGATCTGCTGTCCCAAGCTCAATACCATGTGGCCAGAGCAAGGAGAGTTGACGAGGAAGAAAGGTTGATCAAGAGGAAACAGGAAGAAGAGAGGGCAGCTTTCAAGATGAGACAGATAGAAGAACTCAAAAGGTAATGCTTTTTTATCTCATAGTAGTTTCATACTAATCCAAGAAAGTATCTTCGCATCGGCTCGGTAGACCCTTCTGATCCAGTTTATCACATAATCTTATTCAAAAGGATCCCTTTAACGAATGTGCATGTCGCCAGGCCCAAATTTTGTTCTTTCTGGACAAAAAGTTTTTGGGTCATTCTGAACAATAATGATTCTGAACATATGAACTTTTCTCTAAAGGTTATAGTTTTCGAGGTTTAATATTTAATTAATTAATAAGTGTGAAATACGCCATTTTCGACCCTGAGAACCAACATGGAAAGAAAAAAGAAACATTTTAATGTTTCCAAAGTTCCTAAATATTCTTCAAACACCCATTGATAAAATCTTAAAACGTTTTATGGGGTATTTTTTATTGTAAACCTTCATTTTTTAATGTTAAACGCTCGCTGAATTAACCTAGAGCACTGAATTCGCATCTGACCGAGTACTTGATATTTTGAAAAAGTAGTACTCGGTGCATCTCTAGCTGCGACGATAGAAATGATCTGCGAACGTCCGAATACAACAGGGGGTAGCGACCTTTTTCTTAGAGAATATGGCAGCCACTGGTTTTGATTTGTTTGTTTGTTTAAGATTTATTTAGTATGATTGCTACAATTGCATTCTTTCAAAAAACTAAACAATTAGATTTAGAAAAAACAAAAATTGCATCTCTAAGAATTTTCACTGTAAATGAAATATTCCTTTAATTTTCTTTAGTGATGCAATGTTGTACAAGTAAATAATTTATCCCTGTCAATAGTCTCAAACACCCTTTTGACGTCCAAAAACACTGTCACTGCATGTTTCCTATTGTCCATACATCTCTTCCAGTTCTCAAAAACTATTTGTATTGCCGTTTCAGTTGAGTGTTTCTTCCTGAATCCACCTTGAAATTTGGTTAAAATTTTATGTCCCTCAATAAATTCGATGATCTGTTCGTAAATAATTTCGTCAAAGACTTTTTCAACAGGAGTTATAGTAGAACATTTCAGTTTTGTTGTAAATTGAGAGAGAATTTTAGCAGTCTCAAATAGGGCTTAGGGTAACGTTGAAATAGTTTCATACTAAATATATCTATAATCTAACGTATGTTTCTTTTGTAGAATGGAGGAGGAACAAAGACTGTCCAAGGAGCAAATGTTACAGAAACGACAAGAGTACAAGGAAAAAACAAAGAATGCGCTTATTTTCAACGATATGCCATCCGAGAAGAAAACCAAAGGTGGAAGAGGTAGAGGTAGAACTGGAGATATTCTGTCGGGATCTGACAGTGATCAGGTTAGATAAAAAAAAATAACAGTTTTGATGGAGTAAAGGTGCACCAAGTTCTCGGCATGTACGCGGTACACTGTGTACCCGGACCATTTCATCAAGCGTTCGGTTTCGCTGAGTAACGAATTACTCGGTCGGCTAATTATTTGGTCGGAACGCAAGACCTAGGGCTTGTTAGTTCATAGAATTGCAGATGCGTTGTGAAACCACATTACAGTATTTTCCTGCATTATAATTTGCTTTTTTATATTCTCATGAATACGCAAAAAACACCAAAACCAAAGAACAAAGTAAACAAATGCAGCAGAAATATGAAAGTAACGTGAACAACGAATTCCCCCCGTCTCTGCGAAGAAAACCTTATCTCATACGTAAGGATAATTTAGCGTCATCAAGCAGTTTTGTTTGTTTGTAACCTCATCCCTGGAAACCTATAGAATTTAAATTCATTTCGTGATTACCATGACATGGCAACTGTTCTATCAGGTAATATTCCGAAAATTGAGAGGCAAGGGGTTTCACCTTGCCTACCTCTCAATAAACTGTGAATTTTGAATCTTTACAAATATGCTTCTCTTGAAATGAGAGAGATTGAAAAAATATCAAAACATCAAATGTTCCAAAAAAATAACTTCAAAATATGGTTCCAATATTATCTCAATATTTTAGCTGCTTAATTTCACAGTGAGAAATATAAGCCACTCTCTTAATATTTTAAGAACAAAACTTGTGACATACACTACCTACACATCACTTTACACACAAAACATCGTCTAAGTTGCACAACTGTTTTGTTTCTTTAATTTTTTGAAAAGTCATTAAAATGTAGGGATAAAGATACCTTTCAAAAATGCAAATATACTTTAAATACCACTAGGAGCAGTAGCTTAAATAATCCACCGCAAATAACTCAATCTCGCCGAGTACTCGGGACTTGGCTGTTTGGAAAAATTAGTACTTGGTGCATCGCTAGTTATAAGTTCAACTTTGCAAATATTTGCGTGCCTATGTGTATGATTGTCCCTTGCGGCAAGATATAGTGGTAGAAGCGATTTTGGTTATATACCTGTTAACGACAAATGATGCTTCCTGTTGACACATTTGACGATTTTTAATCATCGACTTATTATCTAGAGAGACGAATCTCTTTTGGATCTACAAAACCGAGTCAAAGAGCGCACGGTGGAGCCGAAGCCCGAAATACCTGAACAAAACCCAAAAAAACAAAATATTTTTAGTGGGTAATTGATCCATGATCATTATAGGGATATTATGCGGTATTCAAAATTGCATTTGGTTTTTGCTTATATCGTTTTGGTTTCAGTTGTATAACCTCTAGAATAGATACTGCGAGATCTATGAGGTAATCGGAAATTTAACCCTTTCTCAACCGAGGACTTGTTACGAAATCTGTCTGTCCTTACGGGGAAAACGCCGCTTGCTGATTTATCCACTTCCCGTTCCAAATCAACATTTTACGTCGCGCTGATCTATCCGCTTCCCGTTAGGAATGACTATACGTCTTTGTATTTTTTATTACATTCTTTAATGAACTAGCGATACTTTAAAAATAAAATTTCGACTTCCAAAGAAATTTTCATACAAAAATGTTATACAAAAATACAAATACATACATATATTTATGTATATAACAAAAACATAACGTAAGTAACAAAATCTGAATATACAAATGCAAATGGAACGTTTAAAATTTTAACACAGTGTTGCACTTCATCGCCGGGTTGCAGCCATTGCACATTTTGCCGATGGTAAGAATGTAAAACTTCCCGACTTAAAATTCTCCATGCGAGACTTTGGGAACATGGTAACTGGGCTGCAATCCGCCTAGTACTTGTACTAGGATCATCCAACGCCAAATTTATGACTTCCAGTTCCTCTTGAACAGTATGACGGACACCATGACCTCTAACTCCGGAAGTTTGGTCTTAGAAATTAACGCGTAAAAACCTTTGGGGTAGGTTGGCGTCTGTTAGGAAATCTACGTTGATACTCCCGAAAACCCGCTAAAGCATTACCATCGCATAACCCGTACACAGAAGTAATATCGGTGTACTCATCATTGCTAAATTCCATTTCACAACACTCAAAAATGAAAAAAAGAAACTTTTGACTTCACTTTTACAAAAAAAAAATGTAGTAGTAACGAAACAACCGTATAACACATAACTTTGCCAAACAATCTCCCAAGATTTGGTATCAAGGCCTCCTATTTTATTTTGAAACTAATTGTATATCGGCTCTTCATAAATGATCTAATTTGTATTATATTCAAAGCGGGCGCGGTGGTGATTTCCTGTAATGCTTCTGAAAGTTTTTAAAAACGCAAAAAAATCCTGGAAAATCGTAATTCATAACTTTGAACATAACCTCTCTTCCGAAAGGACAACACAAATAACCCGTCTGGTACAGCTAATAGATATACATATTTCATGAGCAGCACATTCAGTAACAAGTTTATCACATATCTAATATCACTGATTTTATACTCATGTAGACCAATACGCTGAATCACCAAGGAATCATCCAGTTGCGATTTTGCTACTCAACCAATTTCAATCATGTCTTTTCAGATATATACTCTATACACTATCTCGGCATTCTGCAACCAGCAAATCATGCTGGGGAACTGCCTCGCAGCTGGTCATTGAGCGTGTAGCGGAATAAACTATTTGCACGCTAGGAACTATATAGTCAGCAGGTTGACATTTAGCCGATTTTTGACATTATAGGGTTTTTTTAGGTAATAACCCTGCCGGCTCCACTGGCCTGGAACTAAGGAATCTGTATACATCAGTAGAAATTCAACAATCGGAAAACTTCAGTTCTGCAACTTTACGATACACTGGCCTGTCACACGTTAAGTCTGACGATTTCTTAGTATCCGCAGCGGATCGCCCACAGCACAAGAGACCATGTTTACTTGCAAACCACAGGAAACAAATAGTACACGAAACAAATATTTCCAGAAACAACCCGGCTAAGATGTGCAAAACATAAACGCATGTCGCTTTGACGGATTTGTACGCTATAAATATAATAAGACCGTGAATCTGAAAATCATTTTTTTTTTCAGGAAAATGTTGAGGGTGGTGAAGCTCCACGAAAGGAGAAGAAAGAACGAGGCCGTAAGAAGCAAAGAGGAGATGGCAGAAAGAGAGAAAAAGGTGGTGGTAGAAAGCGCAAAGAAAAACAGATTGGTTCTGATTCTGACGGCAGTGATAAACCAAAGAGGAAGAGGAAAAGGTATTTCTTAATCCGCCAAAACTCTCTGAACTTTTCATTCGTTATATTTCGGAATTCCATTGTCTATGTCTATGCAGTACGGTAGTTTTGACTGTTACTATTCGTTATTTGTTTGTCTGGGCGGTCCGTAGGACCTTTGCCCATTTCTAATGTAGGGTGGTCGAATCTGGCAGTCCCGGTTGCCCAGAAACCGTGTCAAGGAAAAAGAGAAAGGGAAAGATAGGAAAAAAGGAGAAGAGCAAAGAAAAACAGAAGTGTATTAGCCTAAGAGGATACACCTAGGCTTCTTGACTTGGTACACTGATTAATTTTGAGATAGAAAGCTCGCGCTATTTTTTTATCACAGCCATGGCCTTGAATACTTACGAACTTGCTCCACTGTATAGTCCACTGAGTCATGCAACAGAGGGTTGCTATGCGATTCCGCTTAACTACGTATATAACGTCGCTGCGCCTGAAGCTTGACATATTTCCTCAAGTAAGCAATGTCATGGTCTCTGTGTAGTGTCTCATTTGAGATATACGATGGAGCGTTGCAAGTTGTTCGAAAAGTTCTGCTTTGCAGTACTTGAAGACTTTGCATGTGTGTCTTGGCAAGAAAACACCAAGCCGCACATGCATAAGCGGTTTTGACTGTCTTTCTAAGGAACAACTATGCTTGAAGTAACAAAACTGATGAAACAGCAGAAAAAGTAACAAAAAAAGTTGATAAGAATTATCAATATGTGACATTTGGGACTGGCTGAGTATTCTCTTGTACCTATCACGACGTTCCTGCAGGCGGCCTTTGTACGAGATTAACAAACCTTCGCAGCTCTGGATGTAAACGATCTGAATACACTTACGAAGCATCGGCAGTATCTTAAGATATCGAACTAACAACAAGCTTTTTATTACTATAATAAGTAATGTGCCATTTTTGTTTCTTGCATACTCGGCGCGCGACGCCTTGGTTGGAGCCTGGCGCACGTCGTATCTTTTTACCTAATCTTCTGCTAGAAGCAGAGCCGCATTTGATATCGCAGACGACCTAACTTTGCCTCTCATACAATATCTAATTGGCCCCAAACATTTTTATAGACAGACAATTGAACTTTGAAGCGTATTATTTAACACGTTCATATTTTGAAAACTTCTTCAGCAAAAGTAATTGTCTACAGGAAAGAGAAGGAGCCAAAGAAGCCAAAGAAGGAAGAAGGTCTCAGTGCAAAACAGAAGAGCAGAATTGTGTCAAAAGCCACCATATCATCTTCAGATGATAGCGATGATGACAAGCATAGAATTGCTAGTGGAGATGAAAGTGACAATGCTCCTAGAGGAAGAAAGAGGAAGATTTCTTCAGGATCTGAATCCAACAGGTAAGTATCTCTTTATTGAGCAACCTTCCATCTCAAGTAACAATATTTTTTGTTGTTGTTTTGTGTGTTTTAATTTTCTCGAGTTTATTTTCCAACATTTTGAACTCACAGTCGTTTTAATCTTACGAAATTTTGAAAACAAACGTGTACTATATTAATACTTCTAGAAAAAAGGTACAGGGAATTATATTTCTTCATAAAGAAACTGAATTTCGTGACCTTCTTATCTAACAAAGTCATGAATAATGTAGCTACACATGCTACATACTAACAAGGCTAAGACGGTTTGAAACATAGTCGTGTCTCCAGTTTGCGTGCTAACTTTATAAACAGTTCAGTGCATTTCAGTATTAAATAATTTTTTCATAAACTATAAGGTTCACTTGTGACCGTGTAAAAAATTCCGCTCTGAATATGTATAAGAGTATGAACAAATCTTGAAAAAAATTATTCTTCACAACAAATAGTGATAGACACATCCGCTTTGTTTTAAAATGTGTATAATTGCGTATGTTTTTCGAATCTCGTAGCGCATCTAATCAATAAGTCACAAATATGAAATGTAACGTAACCCTTTTTTTCGCATAAAAATAACATTTACTTTTCGGTTTGGTTTGTGATTCATATCGGCAAGGTAAACTAGTGTATTCTGCTATAAAATGCCCTTTGAACGAACCCTCAATAAACTAGTAGTGGTGCCCCGAAAACAGGTGTTTGCGCTAAACAATTAGAAATTCTCAAAAACTACTTGACCAATCTACTCCAATTTGTGAAACTATCCTCGCATTTTACCAAAAAGTGCTAAAACCTCCATTTTGCCTCGGTTTTCGGCCATAACTTTTTTGTTATTAGTCTGATCTTTTTACGTGTGGTCTCGTTTTGAAGGTCTCGTAAATACCTAAAAATCTTATTTGAAGAGTTTTTTCATTCCTGCCAACACTTTTGATTGAATCCAAAAAAACACGTTTGTTGTCGAATAGAAAGTTTTCCACAAAAACTGGTGTACCCATTTTTGCATCCATGTTTTAAATAAAAATAAAAATATTCCGTTGAACAACTTGTATCAATAAAACCAGTCTTCACAATTATTTCTCAAACCAGGGTAATTTTCGTCTAATATGATTAGTTTATGTATTAAAAAAAGAAATATTTTACCCTATGTTTACCATAACCATTTCATTTTATATTCTGAATAAATTTGTCAATTCTTTATGTTCAAAATTTATTTTTTTCCAGGTCGAGAAGTGGTTCAAAAAGCTCCAGGTCAAGGTCTAGAAGCGGTTCTGGCTCTAGATCCAGGAGTGGTTCACGTTCCAAAAGCAGATCCAGATCAAAGTCTAGAAGCCGTTCTAGGTCTAAATCCAAGAGCCGTTCCAAAAGCGGATCTAGATCTAGAAGCGGCTCCAGAGGTAAACACGGATCTAGATCCCGAAGCGGATCTAGGGCTAAAAGTGGATCTAGATCTCGAAGTGGCTCTAGAGCTAAAAGCGGGTCAAGGTCTCGCAGCGGGTCTAGGGCTAAAAGCGGATCAAGATCTCGGAGCGGTTCTAGAGCAAAAAGCGGTTCTAGATCTCGTAGCGGCTCCAGGGCTAAGAGCGGTTCTAGATCTAGGAGCGAATCAAGAGAAAAGAGCAAATCTAGATCTAGAAGTGGATCTAGGGCTAAAAGCAAATCTAGGTCGAAGAGCGATTCAAGATCTAGAAGTGGTTCTAGAGGAAAAAGCGGATCGCGTTCAGGCAGTAAATCAAAAAGTGACTCGGATTAGATCATTGTTGGCATATATTAATGCATTGGTTTTACAAATTGTACAATTTCTACAATAAAGAATACTTGAAATGACTGCATTTCGTCTTTTATCATTTTTTCATATTTTTTATTTTTATTTCAAAAAAGGCCCCCAAGGTGGCTGAAACGTTAGAAAATCTTTAAACCCACTTCTGTCGTTTTATTTGGCGGCAAGTAGTATTAGGTGATTCACCACTCTACTCCACGAACAGAAGTGTATATAGTGTAATATAAATTTGTAAAGTAACTTGAAATGTAGTAGCCAGTAAAGTTGGTTTCATTTATCAGTCAGTTGAAAGCAGTTCGTAATATTACTTTATATCCGCACGAAAATTACGTGTTACCTACATGGCAAAAAACGAAAATGACAATTTTTAATCATCTCTGAGCATGTGCGACCATCAGGAGGAGAGGGGGCATATGCTGGAGTAAAATATTCTTAATAGAGTACCCGTTTCTTGGATGAATGGTGAGTGTTTTACTCCTCAAAACAGCCCTTCCTAGAAATAATTTTTTCTCTCAACTCAAGTGGTTGACTGGGCCTGTCAAGGGCGGATTTATAGGGGCAGAGCGCTCGCGACCACCACCCTGCCTCCTAGACGCCAGTCCATTTTTTTTTTAGAAAACCGTATATATTGCTCTCAGAAACAATGCTTAAGCATGCATCCGCCACCTCCGTTCTTAATCAGCAATAACGAACCCCCCTTGCGAAAAAGAACATCAACGCTGCCTTCCTGTAGGCAGATTCCTAAGTCCGCCCTTGTGGAATGTATACTAAGTGACATATAAATCCGAACACCCAGTTTAAATGGTTTTATTTTAATAAAAGTTGGTGAATGTATTTATCTTTGAAAAAATTTTCAGCCTTATCAGTTGCACATTCCACTGCTTTTTTTAATTCACTAACGCTCTAAAAATGAATATTTCAGCCGCAGTAAAGAATCAACGTTGGCGGATTTTGGTTCTTGACATCCTTTACGATCGGTTACGATGCCTAGAATACGGAGACCTGTACGATTTGATCAACTTCGTGAGTTTGATAGGGGCCGTATAGTGCGACTTCGGGAAGCTGAACTTTCTTTTCGGACAATTGCAGTTAGAGTGCAAAGAAGTGTAGACACTGTGGTTAGGTGTTGTCAGGCATGGCTTCGAGAAGGCCGTACGCAAAGAGCAAGGGGCACTGGACGCCGCCGTAGAACAACAGACCGTGAAGATCGCCGCCTAAGATTATTGGCCTTAAGGGACCGTTTCTCCACTACCAGGTCCATTGCAGATGAATGGTTTGCAGAACACGGAAGACCTATTGGCATGCGAAGTGTTTACCGACGAATGAGAAGTTTTGGCTTGTTTTCATACCGGCCACACTGGGTCCTCCCTTTAACTCGAGAACACCGACGTAATCGCCTTGAGTGGTGCAGACAACGGTCACTCTGGGATCAGGAATGGAACAGTATTGTCTTTAGTGACGAGTCTCGATTTTGTTTAGGCATGCACGATGGTCGTGCCAGGGTTAGAAGGCGACGTGGTGAAAGGAGGAATCCACAGTTTTTTGTTGAAAAACATGTTCATCACACTGTTGGAGTTATGGTTTGGGGTGCTATAGGTTATGGTTCCAGGTCACCTTTAATCTTCATCAGAGGTAACATGAACGCGCAGCGTTATATCCACGAAGTTCTAGAACCCCATCTTTTACCCTATCTTGACACCCTGGCAGATCCAACTTTCCAACAAGATAATGCCCGACTACATGTTGCAAGAGTCACAATAGACTTCTTTCAACATAATGATGTCACATTGTTACCATGGCCACCAAGATCTCCCGACTTATCCCCAATTGAGCACGTGTGGGATATGATGGGTAGGAGATTGCTCAATTTGCAACGTCCTCCTCAGACTCTAGAAGCACTTCGAGAGGAGTTGGTGGTTGCCTGGAATGAGATACCACAGGAGGACATTGAACACCTGATCAGAAGCATGCGTTGGAGAATGCGTAGCACATCAGGGTGCATCCACACATTATTAAAGGTCAAAGGGCTTTAAAGCAGTGCAATCATTTTGAAATTTTTATTATTTACTTATTATGCTTCATTAAGTACTTATACAAAATTTTATTAAAATAAAACCATTTAAACTGGGTGTTCGGATTTATATGTCACTTAGTATAAGTCTAAACTGTGTATCTCTGATTTTGCTGGGCGTCCATGCCTAAAATATACATATACTATATAGTAGTATTATGACAATAAAACTTAGACTAGTAGGTAAACATAATGGAAATAGGAAAAACACTGTTTAGTATACATATAAAACTGTATTTATACAGGGTTTTCGAAAAATAGACACAGATATTTTAGAGGGAGATTCCCTCTTAAAAAATATAAAAAAATAGTTTATATAAATATGGGTCTGGAAATGCAGAGTTTTCAAGATACAGGGTGATGAATTTAATTTTTTTATTAATGTCTTTTGTCCAGTGACCCATGCAATAAAACGGATTTTTTTTCTCGGAAACGAAGTGAGATACGAAAAAATACAAGAGGCAAAGAAGTTGTATTTTTTAGATGCTTAATAAAAACATAATAAAGTTACAAAACTGGCAGAGGCGTACATTTTTTTGTCACTAACGCTCGCTAAGATGTCCCCGGGACGCCACTGGTCCTAATAATTTTAATCTGTTTAGGCCTAAATTAGGTTCTTAACACAACAAATAATATTGCCAAATTTCAACAGAATCGAGTAAATATTATCTAAACCTATGTAAATGGACTACTGGGAAACCAAAAAACTTTTCTTGCAACTGTAATATTTACTTTTGCACTTCTAATTGCACACACTTCTTTCCAATTGCTTATGCATGTTAATTACAGTTAACTGTGATTAAGCTTAACGTGCAAAACATTCACTATGCCTAGGGCTTTTTTATCAGAAACAACGTGATAAATAGTCGATGGTGATATGGTGATAAACGATGTGGTCGATGGTGTCAACCACGATACACATACACTGAAGATAGGATGTTGCGCATGTTGGCGGAGCTTCGTGACGTCACCCAGAGAGTTGTCGACTCGTGGTTACCAGCGGCAGGATTGTCGTAACGTTACTGCAGTGCACGTGTATCACGGTTAAAACTATATAGTGCGGTTTATTGGTGATTTTGTGACTTGTTGTATTAGTCATATACATACTTTATATACCCTGTGAGGTTAGTAAATTGATAAAAATGCGGTGTGCTGTTGTGGGATGTAATTCCGACAGCCAATCTAAACGAAATTCCACAGTTTTCCCCAAGACCCAAACCTTAGCAAAAAATGGCTACATCATACAAAAAGAAAAATCTAAGTCAATGTAAAAAGCGCTGGGGTTTGCTCGAAGCATTTTTGTGAAAGTACCTATAAGGTCAAATTGAAACATAACCCTTTTGGGTTACACCCCTAAAAGATATCGTGCTCTAAAAGATGATGGGATTCCTATGGAAAATTTACCCAAGTCTCTATCATCACCTGGACCATCTGCATCTGTTGATGAGGAAAAGTGCTTACGAAAAAAGGTAAAGAGCTCAACTTATCCCCTAGAGCAGGCCTCTCCAACTCAAGTGCTAGCAGTGCAGCGCCGAGCACCGCTCGCAGCACAGTGCTGCGGAGTGACTCCGTGAAGGTGGGGGAGCGATTAGGCAGCGGCATACGCATCGCGAGGAAGGTGTTGTGCTAACCGTAGCACCCTGCGAATAGAAATGACCCGGGAGCTGGTGGCATTGGGTATACCTTCATCGCGGATTCGACTAAATTTAGTAATAATATGTAGTTTTTAAGTAAATGAACAAGAAGAGCTCAGTAAGGCGGGGCGCATCCTGCCAGAAGTACCTGTCATACCGACTTAAAGATACAGCGTGACAAGAGAATTTCACCGTCATCACCGAATCCAATGAAGCCTACAAGGTTTGATGGAAATCTTAGGCTCTTTTTGAAAAACATGGTATGACAAACTGATTTCCGCCAGAAGTTTCTGTCATACCGACTGAAAGTTATAGCAGGCAATGCAAATAGATACAAATAATACACCCTGTTTGTATGCTTCATGCTTGCATTTAAAAGCTCATTTGAGTCTGTCAGTTTGGCACCAGGCTACTGAAAGTATATGTAAAATGGATATGAAACGTCTTGACCGTTTATATACGAATAGGTTATGGTAAAATCCTACCGTCACGTTGTATCTTCAAGTCGATATGACAGGTACTTTCATCGGCATACCAAGCCCTTTTTGTTCATTTACTTAAAAACTACATATTATTACTAAGGCCCATATCGTCAGTCGTCCCTACAATTGTAGGGCGCGTTTATGGTCTCCTTGATTGTCATACTCCTTTCTTTCCTTCAAAAATTTCTAGATTACACTTGTCCCGTGTCAGCGTCAGCGCTCTCCTATTGTGAAGATATCTTTTCTTTTTAAATTGTAGGAAATTTCAGGCTGATAAAACATGATATAACTCAAAAGCAAGCACAATTTGATGCAAATAGAGTGCTCACAGGGAGAAGTAGAAAACTATGACAATCAAGGAGGCCATAAAGGCGCCCTACAATTGTAGGGACGACTGACGATACGGGCCTAAGTTTAGTCGAGTCCGCGATAAGGTTTAATTTTGCCGGCTCCCAGTCCCAACGGAAAATGAGTGGAGTGACATTTGTATTGACATTTGAATTGGTCGGAATAATGTTCATAATTTAGACGTAAACACATTTATTCTTAAGATGATCTTTGACAGCGTTTCGATTCAACAAGTTTTCTAATATTTGGTACAGTGGCTTGAGCAGTGGAAATTCGTATCTCGCCTCTAAGGACACATCAGACAAAGGACCTGTTTTTAGTTTTGTTCAAATTCATTAAAGAAAAGATCTGCTCGGAGAAGTACGTTCTACCGAACATGGAGCAAGCTTCCAAGGCCAGTGCAAGAATTTTGGGAAAATCTTGCTGCTTAACACCTTGATAAAACGAAATTAAATTACTATTGTAGTGGTAGTATCTATCCTTAAGGATCGTATCGCATTGAAGCTTAATCAGCTAC